GCCCCTCTCCCCTCACCCAAATAGAAGTAGACCTCACCATAATGGTTTTCAAGTGCAAAAAAAAACTAAAGGGAGAGGGGAGGTACCAATATACCAAAAAGGATGGTCAAGGAGGGGAAAATACTAGCACAAAACAAAAGAGGCAAAAATTAACCAAGGAAGAACGAAGATAGTTGAGAATAAAAATATTTACACAGATTGCAAATGACTCTGATGTCGGCTTCCGCTCAGGTTGTGGAAACGTGAGTCACAACGGTCCTTCTCAGGACTAGTCACAACCGGGCGATTAGAAAACACGATCACCTGTTACCCTCAGGTTCACACCATACACTGTATATTTACAAGATATTCGTTTAGTGAGATAGTAAAATATAAAAGAGGCGATAATAAGCCTACAAAAAGTAGGGATGGCTGAGTATGGAGAGGATTGACACGGATTCAAAATCCCAACCTTGAAAATTTTAAGCTTAATTTCACCAGCATGCGTCGTCAATTGCTGAAGAAACACAACAATATCAATATTAGGGACTGTTATACCTGGATAGCAGAGGTGTTCACATCAAACTTCTTAAAAATGGCAAAGGCTTCTTCGTAAAGTTCACCACCAATGGCGATACTGGCGATATCGGGCGCATCATAATTGTCGAGGCGCGTGATGTACTCCATGACACGCGTACGATCGGCCTTAATAGCTGTCAAAATCAGCAGGTTCTGTAAATTTCTGCAACATTAGACGAAAAGAAACAACCTCCATAAATTGTCGGCAATTGCACGCTGTTCAATTAGACCAATCATCGACTGTACTTCGAAAACACTTCGAAGAAAGGGTTGACGTTACATAGCACCAATGAATCAGTATGAAATTATACTTAAGCGGATTGCGATCGAGTGTTGTTTGACCAAAACTAACGCAATCACAGTAGCCAATCAGAACAACGAAAAACGTCTGAAGGGGTCAATGAAAACTAAAAACAGAATGGGTGAAACGGCCCTTATTTAGGGATAGCTAAAGTACACAAGAGCGGTTTGTTTAAATTTTGGAGAGGGGTAGATAAAAGGAGAGGCGTAGTGAACGAAAACCAATGTAATTCGGGGATACCTTTTGAAAGTTTACTGCTACTTTGTAACAGGACCAAAGGAAAGATCTGTACTATTTAGATTAACTTGACCTTCCGAGGTCTTTCCGGAGTCCACCTGTTATTTTCAAAATTCTTACAACACAATACCGTCTTGTTTACTTTACAGCACATCCTAGCCGCTGTACATTTTGAACACAAAACACTTTTGTTTTAGATCCTTCTTCAAAATGGATATCAAACTTAAATTCAAGATAAGGAAAACGATAAAAACAGTACTAGTAGAAAGAAAGTCCATGGTTCCACGGAATGTTGTAGACATTTCAAAACAACGAAACTCATCATTAGTGAAACGAAAGTTGCAAAGATGGGTTTAATTTGTCCATATTTGAAGACGACTGTATGACCTGGTGTACCAAACATATATATTTCGCTCAACTAAATGACGGACGCTTGTTTGGGTTAGGACCTTGTGGTTCTAAGCCCCAGCTGCCTTAAAGGGAACTGTCTATCAAAGTGTATCTTTAGCACTCTGCTTGTATAACCTTTTACTCCCGAGATCTCAATCGTAATTCTCCTTACAATCTGCCGTACAATTCTTATAATCTTCGTTGTGAGAATTTGGTATTGGATAACCTAATAATCGCAAAGTTGGTATTTCTTTTTTCTCATCAATCGTCTGCTTCATATTGTATTGATATTGTAAGGAGAAATTATGTCTTGGGTCATTGACGAGGGTTGAAGGAATACAATAGCTTCTCACCTATGGTCGCTGAAGACGGAGTTATCTAACACAATCTTTTCTAACAGTTCAATCAGTTCATTGGGTAGATCAGCAGTCATGAATGCTTTCACTGTGCACGACACATCCTCGGGATCTTGAGTCTCGGAGAGGGCTGTTTGCACAACCTTTAGCAACAAGATCATAAGAGAAAATAGTTTAAAAATAGATGAAGAGCTCAAGATTTCTACCGAGTGACGCTAGATGAGGGCGAAGCCCAAATCAACTACTGTGGAACACTTTTTGAAAGTGTAGAATTTATTTTAGCTTATTTCGCGGGAGGAAAAAATAAGCAAAAATTTATTCCAGCGTGACTGCCTTATCTCTCTGTTGTGGTTCGAACGGAAAAAATAATGTAAACATGCAACGTACACACCCAGCTGTGAAAATTTCTTTAGAAAGTACCATATTCAACACTGAGCGGCAACACAGAATGTTGTCGCTAAGGCAAGAAAATAATCATCTTTATAATCGTCTTCTTAGTGACCAAATTATACTGACTAATGATGACTGACAAAGATACTGTCATTGGCTATCACTGCATTTTATATCTTGCAAAACAACAGGAAGTGAGTTGCGCGAAAATCAATTCAAGCCAACTTGTCAGTTTTTGTAACTAAGCGAAAATACATTCCCGCCTTTTTTAAGTCTTCCACAGTATCTAACTTGCGAGAAGACCCCTTTTTATTAGCGTTTCGGGACGAGCATTTTTTCGCCCGCGAGAAAGTATGAGCAACGTGAGCCCACGAGGTCTGTAAAGGGGTCTGGTACCCGTCTCGTCCCCAATCTCTCCGCGGGCGGAAAAACGTGCGCACTGCAGCGTTAAATAAAAGGATAAAGGCTGAAAGTTTTTAAAGAAACTGTGGTGCTGCGTCAGTGGGGGTAACAAGGCCATTTGGTTTTATCAACTAAGTTGAAATTGTAAATTGGCCACCGTAAAGAGTTAATAAGCCGACGTTTCGAGCGTAATTATCGCGTTTCGTTTTACTAACTGAATGCCTGGAAAAGGTTACAACAGGAGACTCGAAAAAAAGCAAAGATAAAACCTGAAAACTGCTCAAAGTGCTAAAGGAAAAGGAGAGTAACCAGGTCACAGTTAGCTTATAGTTTTGCAATTCATTGATTAAGAAGTTGGCGCTTGTTTTCGCGATTGAAAGCAGACTGGAGTAAAATAAGACAAATGCGGTGTCAGATTATTTTTGCCATTCAATTAAAAAATGCCCGAAATTCTGTAACCGGCCCTCTGTGATAATAAATAAACCATTTCGAAACCACAAGAAAACAAGCGCTTAAATTTCACTAACCTGGTCAATAAGCTGTCTACGGAACTGGTTTGATTCTTGAAGTACTTCTGCCCAGAGATCTGGGTCCCTTCGTCGAACAAGGTATCTCGCCAGACTCTTGAATAGTGAGTTCTCGTTGCAAACCTTGACAAGATAAAAATTGCAATGTTATAGCAACTGATTTAAAACTAGGCTTTGTGATTCAAAAGGGGCCTAGTTTAACCACTTTTGTGGGGCATTTTGATCAACCGTCAGAGTGTAAATGAGCAAAGTGGTGAAAGGTATGCTGATTCCATGAGATTATATAGATTACATAAATTTACCAAGTAGATTCCATGTTGCCGCGGATCTGTTCTGTTGTAGAACAGAGATGACATCAAAATGTGGTAAGAAAAAAACGTGGCACACATGATGTAGCCAAGTGTTCTTACCACATTTTGATATCTTCTGTTACCTACTACTGTACACACCCACCGAATGGAATCTAGTCGTTTCGCACGATGAAGAAGAAAAAAAAAAAAAACGTATGAGAGCGATCCTCGCAGTAACAAACCCTCTCAGGCCCGAATGGGATTTGAACCCATAACCCGCTGCGACACCAGTGTAGTGCTCTACTAACTGAGCTAGCAAGTCAACTGGGAGCTGGGCCCCGTTTCTCGAAAGTCCCGGTAACTTAACGGACCCGTAAAAGCTGTTCTGTTTTCATTCAAGATGGGGGTTTCAAAAGTTTTGGAAATGACACAATAAAACTATTCGCTAAAGAAACAAAAAGGACTGGTTTGGTTGCCAGAAGCTTTCCTACCCTTTAAATTTTGATTTTTAAAACATGGCTTCGGGCCCGTTAAGTTACCGGCACTTTCGAGAAACGAGTCCCTGGTCATAAAGTTGGTTCGTATTAAACCCGTCGAAGTGATAAATCAATGAACTTGAATATATGAAATTTTTCATATATTCCAATTCACTGACGAAGAGAAATGTTGTTAAGGGCGAGGTCATCTGTTCTCCAATAGATCATAGCTAAGAACCACTCAAAACGTGTGTAACATTTACCTAATTATATAAAGTGAATTGCACTGCTACAAAATATCATCAACTTTTCACTTAAAGGGAAAAGAGACTGAAAAATACTTAGAAGGGTGCCATTGCACATATAATATAATTGCAACTTAGATGTTTGTACCTTAATTAACTCAGCATCGCACTGTCCTCGTTCATAAGCTATGCAAGCCAAATGTGGATCCCTCTTTTCGCAGTATTTACCAACTACTTTGCTGTCATAGTATGGGTTCTCTCTGAAAAATTAACAATTACTAGTAAAAATTTGACCACATCGTGCAAGGTTTTATAGAGCTAGTTAACACGACAAAAGTTGGAACGGAAACATCTCTACAAAATGCCACGTATCTTTCTAAGTTCGCTAAGTACTAATCCAGTATGTTTTCCTACAATGCATTTTAAGCCATGGACAATTAACGTGATATTATTCAAATCAAATCTTACTACACCCTTCCCTCAAAGAATGTTCAACTTTGTGCACTTTGTAAACTTTACCAATACTTTACCTAGACGTGGTGATTGTTTGGTTTGACCAATAAAGTTGGAGAAGGGAATGGAGGTTCTACGTTTACACCTTAACTAGCAAAAAGATCTTTTTTAATATACTAGGATGTAGAACATGTTTTCAATAGGGACCTTAGGCAAACCACGACGAGGTACGAGGAGGTGGTAAAACAATGGATCTAATGGGGAGAACAAAGGCCACCACATGCACTTTTAACCCTTGTACATTTCTTAGCCGTCCTTTGCAAACAATAGAGTGAGATCACCAAAATTTGCGTCTACGAACGGGCCATCGGAAACCGCGACGGCAAATTATTTCATTTCCATTTGGAAATCAACACTGCTAATATATATTATGCTGAAGTTGAGGTCTGGCGCCGTAAGAGACGGTAAACACATGCAGCCATTTTCGAAATTCTAATTAAAAGTAGAAATTGAGTTTTTTAATCGACGGCTTCCTTGGGGTTGCCGTCCAGACTGCTCAAGGTCACTAATAACTGTTCCCAGGAGTTTTTACTTCTATTGTATTAAGTTTAGTATCATCATTTATGTTGATATAATGATACTTTTAACACTATTACACCAACCTAAGGAATCTTTCAGGATTGTTGTTAGCATCAATATAAATCTTGGCCAGTGCGTTATGAGTGGCTGGTTCTTCAGTTCCATCATGGATCTTTGCTTCCAGCCAGGGTAACAGAAGCTTAAGGCGATTTCTTTTCTCCACCTCTTCAACGAGTTCGTCAGTTGAGAATTGGCCTCGTACAGCCATCATGAGACTCTTGATGATGTCTTCTGAGCAGTCCACGTCCAACAAACCTCCTACTACCACAGGCAAACGTGAGGGGTTCACCTGAACAAAAAAACAAGAAAAAAAAAATCGAAGTAAGTCTTGACTCCTTTAGACCTTATCAAGTCAAACTGAATTATGACATCTTTTGCCTGAACATCAACAGTCTCCTTTTAGGAATACAAATTGCTCAAGACAAAAGTCAATAACTAATTCCAAATAGTCTCTTCTCAGTGATAGATCTTCATTTTTGCATTTGTCTTTGACCTAAAGAAATTTGTCAAAATTTGAGTCTAAGCCAGGTGAACAGAAGAGAAATTTCAAAGGACAGTACAGTATTTAAATGTTACTCTCCTGGTTACATGTTTTCTACCTATTATAACAAAAAAACAAAACAAAACCAAGATACTGAGCGCCCTGATTGGTCAGGCCCAGTCCCAACCAGTCCAGATTATCAAGGTTTGTCCGTAGCAACATTGGGACCCATTTTACATACCTTCTGGACATAGATCTCAATGTATTTCTGAAGGTTGTTGCGATATAAGTACAACACCAGATCATGGACAAAATCAAATCTATCACAGACTATGATAAGAGGCAACTGGTCAGTCAGTTTGGCTTCCTAAAGAGGAAAGAGAACAAAATTGATGTAATTTAAGTTGATTTCAACAATAACAGAGAATTACCTGCTAAGGGTACACGAGTTATCAGAAATAATGCTACCGTTTGTGGTGACACCGATCAAAGAACATGAAAAACTATTTTGAGACTACTAATGGAGAGTAATATTACCTTGAGAAAGTTTTTAACTCTTTCTGGATCATAACAGTTGCTTTCTCTACAAATACGCTCAACTTCTTTAACCTGGCCAGTCTTGCAAGCAGCCTGCAATGAAAAAAACCAACAAGAGACGATCAAAGAATTATAATATGATCAAAAATTTAACCTGTACCATAAATTGAGTGTGGAATGAACTGTTCTTGGCTATTGTTATTGACTTTACCTGTATGTACTTGAAGTGGACATCTGGTTCCTGACTAAAGTTGACAATAGATCCCAAGAAGTAAAACAAACCTGTGAGATAAAATATACAGCTTAAGTTAATTTTAATCAGTGTACAATGCACATTCTCGTGCATTTATTTTAAACAAGCACAGTTTCAAGAGATCTTGAACAAAACACCAAGATTTAACCTATGGGTAAGATCTCTGTTAGTCAAAACAGCTAGTGGTCAAAACCCCTCCTATTTAGACCTGTAAGTATTTTAATTGCTAGTCTTAAACCAACATTCTTCAAACAATAGATCACATATTGCTACTAAACTTTGAAGTATCTAAAATTCAATAATTTTTGAAATATTTCTTGGCTATTTTAGGCTCCAGTGTGGAAAAAAAAAGTGTGTTTTCTGTGTCAAAATCTAGACCTCTCCCCCCACCCCAGCCCCAAACAATACCCCTGGATCCCACCTTGGCCATTTATTCTATGTACTACAATTGTTACAAATGTAACCTAACCCTTTCACTCTCAGGAATAACCACAAAATAATTTCTCCTCACAAGTTTGGTACATTTTCAAGAAAAAGGGAAATGAGAAGAGAGGAAAATATCAACTGAAGGACTACACTTGACTAACAACCAAATAAAAATCTAAATCTAATGTCAAATCTAAAGGTTACAATTATAAGAATGGTGTGGGGAACATCATTTAGATCTTGGGGGCGAAGGGTTCAAAAATCTTTCTTTATTGTCATGGATTAATTCTTGTTAAAAACACCAAGGGGAAAATGCTATGTACCTTCAAAACTCTTAAAGGATTCAAACAGCTCAATCAGAGCAGTTGTGCTGAGTTGTTCTTGGTACTTGGTTGCCACTTGAACACAGATTTGTAAGTTTTGGCGAATGTTGTGGGTAAGCATGGCACGCAGGCATTCCAAGGAATCTTCCACTGATAAGGAACCAAAGTAGTTAACCAGCCACTGCAAAAGAAAAACAGATTTCCATTACAACAATTTTCAAAGAAAAGATGAACGAGCCTGAAGACTCCTTGCTACCATTGCTTGTCCTGGTATGGGTAACAGGGAACAGTACTATTACCCCTGGATGCCATGGTATTGACCTAAAGGTAAAGAGACACTTTGATATCAAGAGTGAAGTGTGTTGTCCAAGAACCCAACACAATGACCTAGCTTTGGCTTAACCCCAGACCTTTCCTTCTCAAGTCCAATGTACTACCCTCTGCGCCAGAGCATCCCTCAGAAACAATAAGCAAAGTCAATAGATAACAATACAGAAACATTCTGAATGTTATCTCGTAGAGTATACATAAATCTTGTTAGATATTTTGTTGTGTGGCATTGCCGAGTATTTTTATGAGTTGTGCTGTATTTTGCCAAGCCCATACGGCAAGTTGAAATACAAATAACAAGTAAAAATACCCAGCAATACAACACAACAAAATGTCTGATGAGTTGTCTATTTTCCAACATGTTATTTCAGTGTGGGCAAATTTCATATGTATTTATTTACAGGGAGTGAATGACAGATGTATGCGAAGTGGAACGCAATTGGTGCTACTTCTATTTTCTTCAATAAATGATGAAATTTCATTGTCATCTAACTGTGTTTCTTTGTTTAATTTATCTAATAAACTTGGATCTATATTCACTAGCCATTCCCACCCTTCATCAACCGAAAAATGATTTAAATTGTCCACCATTTTTTTTTTTTGTGAATTCAATCCCATTTGTTGTATGCATGATGCGGGAAAACCTGTCTAACCAGTTCTCTGGAGTACAAGTACCATGTGATATTTGTACTTGTCTTGGGCATTATTTGTACTCTATGAAGGGTAGTTGGATAGCAAGAAAAAGCACTACCTCAGGATTTAGCAGATGAGTATGCACAATGGCTCTCTTGATGTCAAAGATGTCAGTATAGTGTTCCAAGGCCTGTGTAACATATACAAACATAAAATAATCTGAAAAACATGCTCAATCTTGTGCACAAATCTACAGTCACATGGACTGGGATCAACATTCCCTTCAATACCTATTCATGAAAATCAATAATTGCCCATATCTAAGTTGTCACATTCAAAGAATTTTGAAGTGCTTCCAGTTGCATAATTTTGTAAATTTCTTCAATTTAGGCATTCCCTTTTACTATTAACTCACTATTATTAACAAATAAGTGTATATAATTTATGCAACCAATTCCAAGATTATTGTAACTATTCTTTATCATTTTTATCATATAAATTGTAAATAATTTGACAACTTATTTTTAAGTGCGATGATTTTACAATTTAATACCCTTATTCAGGGGTTTTGTTAAGAGCTGAACACCAGGCAAATTGACCAGTCGCGAGGACAGTTTTGCCCACCTGGTTTGACAATCTGGCCCCGGTTGTTTGAAGGATGGATAACGCTATACACTGGATAAATCTCTATCCAGTGGATAGCGCAGTACGTTTTGGTAACACTTATCCGCTGGATAGTGATTTATCCATTGGATGGCACTATCTGCCCTTTGAATAACCGGAGCCTGGAGGATAGTTTATCTAACAAAGAAGTTCAATGCCTCTTCTAACAACTGCATGCATCACATAAGCTGAACACAATTCTTGATAAAATTCCTTTGCTAGTTTGCAAGTAAATGAACCCTTACCCTCTGCAACAGTCCAGCATTCTCACACAGCTGGGCAATATGAGCCCGATCATAATGAGTAAACATTTGATTGCCTAGAATTGCATCTGCAACCTGAGGAATGCATTTTAACCACACTCAATAACCTGTAAATTAGACAATGGTTTCTAACAAGGGACACAGATATCCTCACAAGCTAACCTTCTAACTCCCAAGAAGCGATTCACAAGTAACTTCTCTTTATGACTCCCATACATTATCAAGCAAACAGGTAAAGAGAATGTTAAATATTATCAAAAAAAGTAGTCATCTTGATCTAACACCAAATTCTCGTAGCTAATTTAAAATGTGAAACAGCTAGAAGAGAGAATTAACAATCTGATCTTACGATTTAAAGGTTAACTGCAATTGAAGTTATTTTGAAAAGGATGTCTGAGAAATTCTGGATTCTTTTGGGGATTTAACCACCTGCCTTCCAGAAAAGAGTTGGGTACCTCTACCAACTACTAATCAGACAATTTGAGAAAAGAAGTGTTGTGTCATGGCAAGTACAGTTGTACTCACTGACCTGGGGAGCTGTGAGGAGATTCATTTCAAGCAGCCTGGTCTGTAGATGATCTTCAGTTGGTCTGTTGTTCTTGAGAGCATCCAGAAGGAAAGAAGTGCATGCTTGAACCTGGTTTGTTTCCATAAATACATCTACAATCTGAAAATTGCAAAAGAACAGTTTGAAAAGTGAATGTTGTGAGTGATAACAGTGGAATGACTGAGATCAAAATGTTTAAATGTGGAATGACTGAAATGAAAATTTTTAGAACAAGAATATGGAGCATGTTATCCAGATGTTCTTGCAAACAAGTCAACCCTGATTTGCTACATTTACATTACATATTTACATTTATATAGCGCAGACTTCTATGTGGATATATTCAGTCGCGCTTAACAGTATTGTAAGGTTGAGATTGGACATCAGCCTTTTTATCATGCGCCTCTTCAGCCACTTCAGTCCATGNAGGACTTGAACCCGGGCTGACCGACCCAGAGTCCAGTGCACTGACCACTGGACTACTCATGCCTCAAATACAAAAATTTTTGGGTAAAATGTGTAGGTCATATACTAGTATTCTTGGCACCTCTCCCTTTTCCAAAATCCATGGTGTTTTTCATACAAATAACCTTGTTTACTACTGACCTGGCTGAGATCTGCAAGTGGTTCTCCTTCCTCCTGGACAAGCATTGAAGCAAATTGACTGCCTGTCTCTGGATTGACCCTCATCACATTTCGAAGAAGGAATATGTAATCTGGAGTGTAACCAACTTTCTTTGCATACAACACTATCTTTTGGAACTGACCAGTTTCAGCAAAGCATTGGATCACCTGGAAAAAGAAAAATCATATTTAAGTTAATAATCCCATGATAAGAGAGACCTTAGGTACCTCAGGTACAGGTACTGCATTAAAAATGTCTAAGCAGGGCTTGACACTAACAGTAGTCTACTAGCCACAGACTAGTAGAAATTCAGTTTTGGCTGGTGGTTTTCAATTCTTACTAGCCAGTTTGGCTAGTAAACAGACTGAAATTGTTGTAACATCTAAAGGCATCTGAGATGTCACTAGCCACTTGGCTAGTAAGTTGAAAAGTTAGTGTTGAGCCCTGCCAAGTCCCATCATCCATTTTCATTCTTGTGTGTACATTCAAATTATTACAATATTTGTGTATTCGAGACTTTTAAATATACTCTTGCATCCACCTTGTATTGGCTACTTGAACCACTCACAAACGAACCAAAGGCCATAGTCTATGATAAACTGATACTGTCAACAGAAAGCCCACATGACATTTGTGTGACACAAGCAAGGTTGAAAAAACTGATTTAGCCTGATCAGCAAACATAAAGTGATTGGAGAACGGTGTAGAATAAACAACTGAAGTTGTCTAATATGCTGTGCGAGTGTCATGAAGTAGTCACTACAATACATTGGTGAAGTGTCTGCTAAGAAAGTTACCTTGCTAGGTACATTAGCTCTGAGATACACTGACAAGGCCAGAGTGGGATCCACTTGCTTCACCAAATCACCAAGCTCTTCACTGCATTCCAGCTGTCAAGAAAAACAACCACAAATATTACCAACTCATTAAAATACAAGTACCCATCTATGTTAAAGGGTATTGAGAAGGAGGTATCCAATGGGCAGAAAACTGTCTGCCTCTCAGTTTAAAAGAATTTGTTTCATTGACTATTCAGTCCTCAATCGAAAGATGGTGTTAATGTATTCATCATAGAGGCCATTAAGTTTCCACTTGCAAAGTCACTGCAGGTGATTTCTACACAATAAGTCAACTGATTGACATAACGAATCTGACATTAAACATTTAATAGAGATTTGTAAACACTTATGAATGTGATAGCATAGTCACAGTTTCAATGCCAATGACCCAAAAGCCTATGAGGGCCCGTTAAGGTCAAAATGGTGCATATAATTTTTAACTGTGCATAAATTAATTTTACACATCGATAGAGTTAATATTCTGCGTTTCTAAAATAGTTTATTTAACCACCAAATTAATTTTACCATTCCTATTAATTATATTTTTAGAAGACAAATATTTTGTGTTTGTAATTAATTGTGTGTGTGTGTTTGGAATTAATTTTGTGTGTGTTTGTAATTAATTTTGTGTGTGTTCGGAATTAATTTTGTATGTTTCTCAAAACCCTTTACCCATAACACCTTGCGGTAGTTCTCTACCTGTGCTGCCAAACAAAGATGGCGACGACCCCTACGATTCCCGAGCAAATGAAAGAAATCGCACAAGCTGCAATAGACAGTATTAATCAGCTAAGCTCGTTTATTGAGCACAGACCATTAAGAAATTGCACAAGCTGTAATAGACAGTATTAATTAGCTAAGCTCGTTAATTGAGCACAGACCGATAAGATTTTCTAGTGACAAACGTCAACCAACATGGGAGACGACTTTCGTTCGCCAAACCCAGCCAGCTAATAGTGCACTAACAGAATTGCAGAGGAGGTTTCTGACAGTTTCAAGAGGAAGATACAGAAGACCTTCTAATTCTAGCTCGCGGCTGTGTCCAGTCCTTCAGAATGCAAGGCGTCCTGCTGGTCGACCGTTAGCATCTGAGATAGTTTCTAAGGATGTTATGATACTAGAAATGGGAAGAGAGAAAATACCGACGAAAGCAGAAAAGCCTGATTTAGAGAGAAGTGGACGAATTATATCAGGCGTTGACATTGATAGAAAGTGGGATGCCGAAAAACTTCACAAAGAGTTAGCGCAATTATTGACAGGTGAAATGGAGGGCTTGTATTTCGAAATAGTAAAGAACTCTGGTGGTACTTTGCTAAGACCAAACATCCAGGCAGGAAAAGAGATTGATTCAAAGCTGCTGCTGAAATCGATTGCTCCATCTGGCTGGATCTATTTAAGACTCCTGGAGGAATTGCCATCCATGATT